AACGCCGCAGAATTGGCTTTTGCCACCGTACTCGCTGATAAAAGATAAATAACACATGAATTAGTACCCTATCTGCAACAGAAACTATAACTTCTACCATTATTGCTAAAACAAAACTAAAGTACAACTTTGTGTTAGAACTGGAAATAGCTGCCATAAAAAGAGTTAAAACACAAAAGAAACGAAAACGGAAAAGGAAAAACACCTTTTATGAAGTAGAAAGTTACCAATGGTTGCATGATACGCAAATGGAATGGAATACAAGCAGTTAAACTATAAAATATGGAAAAGTACCTTTGCTTTCCAGTAGCTATATGCAGACTGAAAAACCGCAAATCTGATAGAATATGATTGCAAAGCCTACAACACAAGCAAACATTAAATTGTTATAAAGAAAAAGGATAGAGTTAGTCAAGAAATATGTAAAATATCGATGCCAAGACATGGTTATCATGTGATAAGTTGATCATGCATGTATACACATAAGAATGGTTATAAAGGGCATGTGGAGGTAACACATTTTGCCAAATGAGCTACCAAGAGATAGGTTATTGCCTTATTGGCGATGCAGTCATCACCTAAAGCTAGATAGGTTGTTGCCTTATTTGCAATGCAGTCATCACCTAAAGTAGGTGGGTTTCAATACTCTCATCCAGCTCTTTTGATAAATGAGGTGGCAACTCATATACAATATCCCCTATATACACGAACACACATAATATATGTAGATACATATACACTTTTCGGGTGTCAATAATTCCCGTTCGGACTGCATGATGCATTTCCAGATTGCAAATCCATAATTCCATATCTATACTCGTAAGGCAATCTAGAAACAAAACGATGCTGATTACATGATCATGATGATCAAAGGTTCTCAGCTACAACTTAACCATGCAAAAGCATAAAAAAAACAAGGAGGATTTAACCATTTTTAGATAATTTGGTGATCACCTAATGCATGCGTAAGGCATGTCAAAAACCCTTAATTTCCTTTCTACACAGTTTTCAGGTAGCATATCACATCTAAAGTATGGGTTCTCAATTTGGAAGAAACATTATCGAATTTAAAGTTGAAGTACCTGCACCTGCATACTTTTAAAAGGAATCAAGCTCAACCCTCTCTCCCTCACTTGGAGGCATCAATGCCCGAAAATGCAGCCACACACACATGCCCATATATGCTTGCACACAAGAGCTAACACAAGCATGCATGTTTATCTGACAAATATAAAGTATAAAGGCGCATGCATGTGCACAACACACATGGAGACCAGGAATGCACACAGAAATCATATTGAAACACTCATGCATTTGGCTAGCCTGATCGTTTTGCATACCGCGGACTTCTCCCTACAGTGAATGATGATTCTCAGACAGAACAGAACTGAACAGAAGATATTCTGTATTATTAATCGCCAAGGTAAGCTAAACTTTATCAGAATTTTTCCAGGAGATTATATTTAAACACAGTACTGAAATTTATCAAAGAGCATAGGTAAATAGATTAGGTTATAAATTCATCATGTATTTTGTAGGCTCAGAAAAGAGAACAGTTACAAAATCTTTAAGTAGATTACCTCGGCTGCAGCATCAAGCTGTAAAAGAACAGGAATAGGCACTCCTAAAGTGGGTGTTATAACACCTGCCCTTTCCCGAGTCTTGTGATCCAAAACCTCCAACTTAAACAAAATCGTTTCAAACCTGAATCCACAAATGTGCAGGATTACAGTGTGAAACCAAACTGAAACACATCAGAAAACTTATTTAGAAGGAACGCATTCCAATTTTAAAACAAAAATGCTATGGCTAATGTTGCTCCTGTCTTGAACAATCTTAGCTAGTACTATAAAAGAAACACCAGCATTGCTGCACAAGAAAGGTGTTATATGCATGACCATATCATACAGATACCGCTCTGTTCTATAAATACTTGGCAAACTCCTAGTGTGTTGTCCATATTTGCGACTAAAATTGGATATATAAAGAAATCAGATGCTTATAAATATAAGCAACAATTTAAAAATTTCAACGAAAAATGAGTACCATTTTGCTAAAGAATATACTACCAGAATCTTACCCTAAAGTTATTGAACGTGCACCAGAGCCATACTGTCATGGTACCAAACTATCTGTATGAAGGACATTTCCGAACATAGATGGAATATGCAAAATAATATGGCTTCCATAATGGACGATATACTGCTCTATAATATTGTCAACAGCAGAGTGAATCAGAGCAAAGCAAAGTGGGAGAATGGACATTTGCTTTATCCAACCCTCGCCCTCTGATAAGCAGATAAAATTCGGGTTTTAAGCCATTCATGCTGGCTGTAAATCTATAAACTGAGCTGAGTGCTTCTTACTACAGCTTTACACTGAAGTAAAGTGTTCTCTGGGTTGTTTCTTCTAAATCAGGGATTTAACAGGTCTTTTTAGAGATTTTTACAATAAGGGTATGCATACAAAATTAAGTAAGTGTAAGGATTTCATTTCCAGCATGCAGTATATATTTAAGGCAGTGTGAGATGCCCCATGACGTCAGTTTAGAATTTTGACATTACTTTTCAGGTGAAAGAATCTTTCTTTCGTTGTTGAAAGCTTCAAGCCAATCCTCATCCTCGTTGTCCAGATCATACTCAACAAACTCTCCAATCTCAGTCCTCGCTGCATGCAGTTAGCAGTGATCATAGGATAAGCACCACACAAAAGACTACCTTAAATCTTCATTAACTAGTTCCTCTCTAGGAAAAAAAATAATAAGTGACAAACCTCCTCTTGCATGTACATAGGATGCAGGTTGTGCAAAGGTGGGGGGATAATCTCTTTCATATGACTCCACAACATTGCATTGTGGAATAGGTATCTCTTGTGAATTCTTTCCACTAGGAGGTTGATTTGCCTATAAGATGAAAACATTGTTAGTTCAGTCATTTTTCCCATCAGATATGTGCGCTATTATAAATCTCTCAATTATCGCAACCATATGCATAAAACTAACATTCAAGCAGTTGAAAATTCATATTCGAAGACATAAAGATATTTTGTGTGTGTGTGTATTAGTGCAAATGCTTGTTAGAAGAAAAATACTGAAGGCAGCTAAAATGGGCAAGCAAGAACAATGCAAGAGCAAATGTTGAAGTACTCAGACAGTACCAAAGACAAAAAATTTCAAACTCTTCTGCCATCTAGAAGTCATGAAAGGTATACCAAAAGAATTCAAAAAAAGATTAGGACATCTCAACAACATTGACCTGTCACCCACATCAACTCATAAGCTTGTGAAACTTAGAGAAAGATATCAATGATACAAGTTCCAGCCATCTAACGCATTACCCAAGCTTAGTGCCACAAAACGCATGGAATGTAAGAGGCATTAATCTCAACCTCCAATCAGGTATGTACTCAAATTACATTCAAGATCATAAAAATGACTAGAATATGTTGTTCTCCATATATGTCCGTAGCCAGTGAATTCAAAATACCACAATAAAGTGATGGGCATGAGCAGAACACATTCCTCTATCAATTCAAACGGCTAAATCAGAAAAAGAAGCATGGTTACAAAATGCACGAGAGATGGCACTACCTCATTGTCGACCTGTCGGAACAGCTGGGAGTTCCGAGTGGAAGCTCC